GAGTGTTGTGTGTACATCAATGTCTCATATGATGCATATAATTAAGCTACTTTTTGTTGGGAGCGGAAGAAAATTGGGCTTTCCCAAAGAAAAGCAGCTTGCTCCCAAAGTTGCTAACAGATTGCTTCTTAATTGAACTTGGGAGGTGAATTATATGGTGAATTAGAAAAAAGAACAACTCTGAATTTAGTGAATTGTTCCATAAAGGAAACTGTGGGATTGAATTGCAAATGCTGGATAGAAACATTGCAGCCTGGCCCCATGCATCATGGGCCGTTGACCTCTGCTGTGTTTCAGTGAGAGCGTGAACAGGCCTGTAGCTCTCTTTTCAAGGCCTGGAGGGCATTCTTTCCCAGAGACCAGCTGTAAGCCTGGGTTTCTTATGCAAAGGAGACGTTTGAATAAGCCCCTGTGACTAATGAAATCTACAAGGTCTTTGCATATCCTCTCACTGAAGAGGTAATTAACCAAAGATCAAATACAGGCATATATATGTATTTTTTTCAAATATTTTTTGTCTTGCAGTTACACTCAAGGAAAAATATATCCCCACACCCTGAATGCTCCCTCCCCCATTGTCCCCAATCTTTGTCTGCAGCAGGCCATATTTCTCTTCCTTGTTCCGTGGTGCTCACGGGTGCAGTTCCAGCCACAGTCACACCTGTCTTACTCATTTGCTAACTTTTACTGGAAGAGAGGAACATTTTCCATTGATACAGATGTAAGAAATGACTTTTTTAGTGTTTGATGTCTGTTTCCAGCTCCACATCTTTCATTCCTGGTGAGCTTGGGAAGGAAGAGTTTTGTTTTAAGAAAATATCAGGTTCTCTGAGTAGTGAATCTCAACCTTTGCTGCACCTTAGAATCACCTGAGGAGCTTTTGAAAATCCCAAGGCCCAGCCCAGGCCCAGACTGATTAAATAAGAACCTGGGTGGGGGGGTAGGGGCGGGGAGGGACCCGGCATCCGTGTTTGTCTAAAAAGTTTCCCAGGTGATCCCACATTGCAGCGAAGGTTGATAACCATTGTCCCAAGAATATCTGCTCCCCTCTCTCCATAAAAGCTGATGGATTTTCCCATCCATTAGGCTGAGTTAGAAATGATTGAGTTATCTTTTTAAGCACGGTCTACCTGACTCGTCCATCCATCATCCATCAGTCCATTCATCCATCCATCCCATATTTTATTGTCTGCTATGTGCCGGGCACAGTGCTGCGTGTTCATTGTTGGACAAGACAAGGATACTTTCACCAAGATGCTGAAAACTAAAAACCAAACTGAAGGATCAACTGAATGGACAGGAGATGCCTTTGCGGTAAGGGGTGTGAATCAGACCAGGCCCTATATGTGCGCACAGAGCAGAGGGCTTCTAACCTGGGAGGGGCAGTGAGGCAGTGTCCCAGAGGAAGTGGTGTCCCAGCGGAAACTTAAAGCACCAGTAGGATTTGGCCAGGTGAAGAGGTGGGTGTGGCCGAGGAAAATAGAAATCAAGGTGCTATAGGTAGCTCAGGGTGGCTGAGTGGGAGTGGGGAAAGTAGCAGGAAGCCCCAGGGCACCAGGTGGAGGAGGCCTCAGGGAATTAGAACTCATCCCAAGGGCAGCGGGGAGCCTCAGGAAGGGTTTCATTAGGGAGAGTGGCGAAACCACATTAAGTCCAGGGAGATCCCAGGCTCAGCAGTACTGGGAGCATGAGATTTGCTGCCCTTCTGAGAAAAAAGACAGTCTCTAGTCTCTTGCTGGTAAGGATGACAGAGGAAGGATTTGTGTTCTTCACTGGCCAGGGCCCCAAGCTCTTGCAGGCCTCCTGGAAAAAAAAAAAAAAAAAAAAAAAAAAATAATAATGCTGTGAGTTCCTTGGGAATAGCCAATCTCTCCCAGGCACCCCACTTACTCTTTTTCTTTCTTGGTCCTGAGGCTGAGGGGAAGGAGCACAGATTTGGAGGGTCACATAGGACCCACCTTCAGCCATCACCCTTGCTAACCATCTCCGTACCCTCAAGATAGGCAAGTCACTTCACCTCCTGGGGCCTTGTTTCCTCCCTGGAAAATGGGGATGGTTATGGCCCTTTTGTCATTGTGTCTTTATGAGGCCAGAATTATTAAACACAATACAAGAAGAGCATTTAGCATTGTTCTTAGCGCATGTTCAACTCCATAACTGGCACATAGTAATCACTGATTCTTTTCCCCCTCTGGCTACTAGGGGGCCCCTGTTCTCCCCTCAACTCCAGAGTTTGAGCTCCTATTATAGTGGGCCAGGTGGATCCGAAGTCCTCCACCCCGAGCCTGCTGCAGAGCTGAATATCAGTCTCTCCTGGCCTTAGCTCCCTCAGCCACAGCCTACAGCTAACCTTGAACCCAGGCTGTGCTCAGGTATCCTTACAGGTTTAAGGGTTTTTTTTGCCTCCTTCCACCCCTTTTGCAGGAGCCAAGCACGTCTAAACTTACCAACCCTTCATGCTGGGCCAGTGCTACGTGGAATCTCCTTTCAAATGCCAGCCCCTGAGTCCTACTCCTGTCCACTACTAGTAACCCTGGTCATATTCAAAGCTGGTGCAGTTACAGAGTCCTCTCATGTTCTCTGGCTCTCATCTAGATCCCTCGGAATAAAAGCTAAATCCTGAAAATGGCACCACATGAGCTAACCCTCCAGACCCTCCACTGCCCTCTGGCCACAGTGCCTAACACTGTCTCTGTCACCCATTCCATTCCAGTCATACTGCCTCCCTACCCCCAAGTACACTCCCACCCCGGGGCCTTTGTACCTGTTGTTTTTCTCAGCTTGAAATGTTCTTCCCCAGTCTTCTGTAGACTCTCTCCGTCACTCTCTTCCGGCTTCTGCTTTTCTATCTCACATGAATCAGCAACCCCTTATCCCTAGCATTCATGGTTCCCTTCACCCTCCTTTATTTTCTTTGTAGTGCCTATCGGCAACTGACTTAAATATTTGGTTGCCTATTAGCTTATTGTTTTCTCCCCTACCCTCCATCAGAATATAATTTCCATGAGGTCAGGGTAGAGTTTGTTCTGTGTTGTATCCTGAGCAGCAGAAACAGCATCTGGCGTGGAGCAGGTGTTGGATAAATATTTGTTGAATGAGTTAGTGCCTAAACAAACCCATTACCTCATTTGGTCTTCAAAACCAACAGCCCATTTGACAGATGAAAAATACAAATGCCCAAGGTCTTAGCCACAGTTTCGCAGCAAAGACGAAGCTAGTCCTGGAGCTCTGGCTTCAGGCTCCCCTTCACTCCACGCATGCCACATTCCTCTGCCGGCCAGCGACTTTCCCCTGACCTTTAGCCTGAGAGGAAATGATATCGAGGCTGGAAGAATACCCAGAGGGCTGGGAGCTGGCAGCCAACGGCCCGGCAGCTGCAAGGAGTGTGTGAGTGGATTTTGAGTTGGCCAGAAAGGCAGCGGAACGAGCAGGATGGAGGCACGCAAAAATGTCAGCGCACGCCTGGTCCGCCGCCGGTGTCATCAGCAGGAGAGGGAAAGAGGCGGGCTGTGTGGTGGAGGCTGAGCTGCAGGACCGCAGGGCCGGCTCCCTTGGTTGTCCCGGGCCAGGTCATTGGGGCATCTGTTTGGGACTCTACCCCAAGCATTCTTGGGAGCTGTGGGGCACAGGAAAGATCCTCAGGCTTCTGACCAGGAAGACTAGTCCTGAGCACCACCCTGGGCTACTCATTTTGTGTCTTGGTTTTCTCCTCTGTAAAATGGCATTACACTCTTGTCTGCCACAGAATGTTCTAATGGGGGTCAAAAGAGGTATGGGGATACAGCTCTTTAAGCTGCAAATTTCTAAACAAATGCAAGAAATGATTTTGTAAGTCGATTGTCCTGTAGTTGCTTGGATGTGGTTTCCTATGTACAATAGTCTCTCCTGGACATAGGCTCTATTCTCAGATCTGCTCCCTGGTGTCACAACCCACCCAGTTATTCAACCCCCAAATGTAGGAGTCATTGGGGACCTCTCTCAGGCCCTTGTATCTAATCCATCAGCCTCCCTGCTTCCCTGCCTGCAACTATATTCCTAATATCCTTGTGGATCCGGCCTCCCTCTCTGCCTGGTTCCCCCTTGCCCACCAAGGGCAAGCTCATTCCCAGTCTAGATTCTTTCCTGATCCTGGGCCAGATCTCTGTGTCAGTGCTCAGGGAAGGCCCCTTCTGAGCACACACACTGCATACGATCTTCAGATTTTCTGAACCCACAACGACTTCGTCCATTTGTTTTCTTACTTTGGGTTTATTGTCCAGTTGCCCACTTTACCCATCTGTCTTGCTCACTGCTGAATCCCCCGGGGCCTGGAACTGCACACAGTTCCAGTTCACCATGAGTCTAATACTTTTAGCTGATTGACCACCTTCCTGGTGGGGACAGATGTGAACCAGGTTTTACACAATGGCTACTAGCAAACAAAGACAAGCATCACTGTCCTTGACGGAGGCCGTGTCTGCAGAGTCTGATATACAAAGTCTACAGAGCAATTTCTAAAATGAGACTCACCCCAAAGAGAAAACCCAAATGCCTACTTAAGCCAGGGCAGTAACTGACCACATCCCCTATTTAAAAGCAGCACTGAGGACTTCTCCCACATTCCACACGAGGGGACTCCAGAAGGGAGTGTCCTGTTTACATTCGGGCTTCCTAATGGGGGCGAGGGTAAGGAAGCTGACTTGCAGGTTGACTTTGGGATCTGCCTCTTAACTTTGTATATTTGACTCCAAGTACCCTTGAACTGATAGAGGAGAGCAATACATTTCTAATTTGTGAATTATGGGCGTGGTTATGAAAAAGCAGGTTCTTTTTTGCCCTAGCATCTAGAACAGTACCTGGCACGTGATAAGTGCTCAATCAACCTGTGTTATCAAATCTTTACTGATCTGCCAGGGATCCTGGTCATCCCCCAGGTGACTAGGTTTGCTCCCTCAGCTCTTGGTGCTCCTACAAAGAAGGCTGATGAGTCCTCACGTTTCTTTTCTTTCTCGTTCCTTTAGGTGGGCTGGAGAAGCAGCAATCTGAGAGCCGGGAGAACGCAACCTCCACCAGGACCAGCGGCGAGGAAGCTAGAAGGGGTAATGTGAGGCCCCACCAGGCCTTTGGGTCCTTTTTTTTTTTTCAGCAGTGGTAAATTTCACATAACATAAAAGTTCCATTTTAACCATTTTAATGTGTGTAACTTAGTGACATTAAGTACATTCACAATGTTGTACAACCATCCCACTATTTCGTTCCAGAAAATTTTCGTTCCAGAAGATTTTCATCACCCCAGAGGAGACCCCACACCCACTAAGCAGTCACTTCCCTTTTCTCTCTGCCCCTGGCTTTGGAAACCTCTTTTTTCTTTTTTTTTAAGATTTTATTTATTTATTTGAGAGAGAGTGAGCAAGAGAGAGAGAGCATGAGCAGGGGGAGGCGCAGAAGGAGAGGGAGAGGCAGACTCCCTGATGATCAGGGAGCCCAATGCGGAACTCGATCCCAGGACCCCGGGATCATGACCTGAGCCGAAGGCAGACGCTTAACCAACTGAGCCACGCAGGTGCCCCAGCTTTGGAAACCTCTTATTCCACTTTTTACTTTTGATCTTAGTGGACTAGGAGCACCAAAGTCTCTGGGCATGAGGGAGTGTGTCCTTTTGTTGAGGATAGACTGGCTGAGGGTGGTGTTTGGCTGCTCAGGGACCGGATGGTCTTCAGTTAAACTCTGCCACCTGGGTTTGACCTTTCTCACCGTGCTTGGCTTGTGAGTTGCAGCCCCCAAGGGCCGACAGGAGGGATCATGAGGCTTTGGGAGCTAGGTGTCTGCCAGAACAAGTGGGCAGGGGAGGCAAGGAGGGAAAATAAGCCGAGATGGGGGCTGGGAGAAGGGTGTAGCCTAGAGACCTTGTGGGCTGCTGGGGGAGGGGGCAGGTGAGGTTGTGGCCATCTGTGGGCAGGGCCACCCATCAGCAGGTGCCTGCCTGGAAGTCTGCCTCTGCGTGTCTGCACACTGACGCTCACACACGTGTGCTTTCCTGGTTCTAAGAGGTTCTAAGCTGGAGATTACGGGTGCGGGGGGCGTCTCACTGGATACATCTCCAATTGGAGGAGTTTTCCCGTTCAGAAGCCGTGCTGGGGGAGAGAAGCTGCTGGACTTCGGCCTGGCCAGCATCCTGCAGGAGTCAGGGCTCACTCCTGCAGTGTTGCTTCTTCTACATAAAATAAATGCAGAGCAGAGCGAATAATTTTTTTTATTGAAGTGTAGTTGACACACAGTGTCAAAAGGAATAGTTTTTAGAATCTTCTGATCTGTAGTCAGATGCGTTATCTGTCGCGCCACTGGCCCTGTCAAAAGGAATAATTTTTAAATGCCAGAATCCTTTTTTTCAAGGATGCCTATTTAGGGATAACATAGAAATCAATATTTGCTTTATGTTTTTGCTTTAATGCTATTTTATATTTTACACATACATATGCATATATATAATTTCATACAAACGCATACATGTAATGATACCATCATGTCCTTTCTTAATTTTTTTTTTTTTACTTTTCCCTTTAATTTGGCTAGCTCCCTCCCTTCTCTCTTCCACATATTGCTCCTCTGCCCTTCCCCAAGAGATGCTGGCTGATGGCTCTGTGTGCACCCTTCCACATTTCCTCCTTGCACATGTGTTCACACACTGCTGTAGGGATATAAACATGCATGCAAATAGAAGCTTCATCATTTTACAAAACAGGATCAGATTTGATACGTGCTTTTTATGAATCATGCTTTTCTCACCCAGCAGTACGTCATAGGAAACCCCTCCAATGCACTGGTGATAACTTCAGTTTATTCTTCTGAATATTTTGCAAAATATTCCTGGTGTGGGTGGGCCATAATTGATCCAGTGATTCCCTCATCAGTTAACATTCACTTCGTGTCAGGTTTTTGCCATCACGAGCAATGCTACAGTAGACGTTCCTGAACCTAGATCCTCACACTCTTGGGATGTTTTTAACAGGTGTTCCTGGAATGGGTTTCAAAGCCATTCACATTTCCAGAGCAACTTGTGAAGTGCCCCTTTCACCATATCCTCGCCAGCCCTAGGTGCTCTCCATGTTTTTAATAATGTAAACAGGAGTTTATTATTACTTAATTTGGATTTTCCTGACTGCTGATGACTTTGAGCATCTTTTCCTGCCTTTCCTGCCTTTCCAGTGATGTAGGGGTGCACGTCTATGATTTGCCTCTTCCTGTCTTTTGCCCATTTTTCTGTTGGGCTGCTGATCCCCCTTTTATCAGTTTGGCCTCTTTCAGAGAAAGGCAGATTCATTAGCTCCCACACTCCTCACCCCCTTGACAAACGTGTATTTGTTTCTCTATCTCAAAACACATTGCTGGGACCATGTGCAGGGCTTCCTTCAAAATCTGTGGCTTCCTGCTTTGCTTTTTCAAAGTATTTTGACTTGCGCTTTCTTCGGCTCTCAAGACATCTCATAATCTCAGTGACACTTCGTTTTGGCCACAGATGACCAACGCTTAGTGCTAATAATGGAGCATAGGGTGTGAGGGTGGAACCAGGGACCAGCACTGCAGTGGTGCAGATACCACACCGCACTTTCCCTTCCTGAGTGATTTATTGTTGCCTAAAGCCACTCCCAAACTTAGTGACTTCAAACAGTGATTTGTTATCTTTCATGATTCTGTGGGTTGACTGGGCTCTGTGGGGTGTTTCTTTGGCTGACATCAGCTGGGTCACTCACTTGACTGCATTCATCTAGCAGCTGGGCTGGGCTGGCCTGGGTGGTCCGAAAAAAAAGCTGTAGTCACATGCGCCTCCATGTGGCTCTTCTCGCCACGTGGATTTTCATTTAGCTGTCTAACCTGCGATTTTTTTACAGTATGGCACCTGGCTTCTCAGAGGGAAGAAGCAGAAGCCACCAGTCCCCTTAAGGCCTGAACTCAGAGTACCCAGAATGCTACTTCTGCCACATTCTCTTGGTCAAAACAAGCCAAAAGCCCTGTCCACCTTCAAGAGGAAGAAAATAGATTCCGCCCCTTAATGTGAAAAGCAGCATGAGCTCACGGGGATGAGCGCTGTGGCCATATTTAGAGACCAGCTCCAGCTTTCTCTCATTGCCTCTTACCTGCCCACCAGCAATAGACAGGGTCAGGGTTCTTAGTATATACTAGTTTGTTGGTGTAAAATGACCCAACCGAATAAACTTAGACTGTCAGACACGCTTGGGTTTGCACCCTAGCTTAGCCACTTAGTAGCTAGGACCTCAGGTAAGTGTTCATATGAGGTTTGGAGAGAATTAGAAATAATATTTATGCAAAGTGCATAGCCAGGTGTCTGGAATTTAAGAGGTGCTCAGTGCAGGTAGCTCCTCCACTTTTTCCTCTCTACCTCCACCTCCAAGAATAATATTATCCAGCATTGGAAGTGTATCATCCACCTCTGGACTGGGATTCCACAGCTGTTCAACAGCTGCTCAGAAACACAGTTAAGGGAGACCGGAAGGAATAAGGCTGCTGCAGCTCATTAACATGCTGCCTCTGGTAGGTTGGCTTGTGCATGGTACCCACGCTGTGACAAGAGATTTCCTTGGAAACATTGGATGAGTTTAAAAAATAAATAAATAAATAAGAGATTTCCTTGGGCTTTGTAAGGAGGACAGTGAAAGCATTCCCCCAGCCACCATTGCTCACACCCCTACAGTGGGCTAAATCCATAGTCTGCAGACCGTCCAGTGACCCCGGTTTTTTGGAAGACGATAATGTCAGGGCTAGGCTAGTTTCTCCATTCCATACTGCAGCAGCAGACGGGCAGGTCTTTAAGCCTCCCGGGCAAGCCTGATGAGCAAGGAGACCTTTGGCACCCTCAGAGGTGAGCCGAGGGCCAGCTGTTCTAGCCTGTCCCTCCAGCCTTCCCGCCCTCCGATTCATCTCTCCGGGGCCCTGTCAGGCGCCAGCGTGGGTGCCTCTTGTTTTTGTTTGAATTAAAGATAAGACGAGTTGTGTCAGTCTCAGATTCCCCTTTCATCACAACCGGACCCCCTCCCAACACCCCCAGAAAAAGAGACCGCCCAAGCAGGAGAAAGGATCTGAGGGAAGCCCCTGCCCCCTGGCCCCCTGGCTTCAGCAGCAGGTTTATTTCCTGGCATTATGTGGCTCCCCTCAGCCCTGACGGCAGGGATTTGTGCTCCCAGCTTTGGGAAGGGCTGGGCTCAGAGAACTGCTCACTCAGCATCCCCCTGGCAGGCCGTTTGGTCCAAGGAGTCTCCCTCCCCTGGAGATGAGCGCTCAGCATGCGTTTCAGGGCTGCTAATAGGATTAATGAAATGGAGTGTTTAACTGCTCCTCCGATGAAGCTGTGACTTTGGATAGAGCCCGATTTCCAGAACCATATTCGTAGAAGAGAATGGACTTTTCACTCCCAGTAACAGTTCCTAAGGGCTTTGTGCTGCAGGAAATCACAACGGAATCTTGTTTGCACCAGAGAACGCAAGCTTGGGTACAAAGCACTGCTCAGCACCCGAAACCCTGAATGTCACTAATGACAGTGTATCTGGGTGTATCCACTGAACCTAACTTTAGGCATTCTTTCTAGCCCGTCCCCAAATGCTGACCTTGCTAGCAATTGCTGAAGCTTGCACCGAGCCCTTACCATGGCAGGCATTTGACATTCATTACCTGGTTCGGTGCCCACAATGCCAGCATGCAGCCGGGAGGAAGATTCAGAAGGCAGGAAGAGTGGCTTATCCATGGCCACACAGGTAGCAAATGCAGCATTTATCTTGAGCCTAAGTCTCCCTACCCTAAACCCCCTGCTCTTAACCTTTGGGCAATATCAGTGGTTCTCAAACATGCCTGTGCTTTGGAACTACCTGGGAGCTTTAACAACTCACATGCCTGGACTCCACTCTAGTTTGATTGAGTTGCAATCTCAGGGCAGGGGGTGGATGCCAGAATTTTTAAAAAGCTCCCCAGTTGATCCACATGTGCAGCCAGGTTTGAAAACCATCATGCAGAATAATCCAGTCTCGGGTGGCGCCTGGGTGGCTCAGTCATTAAGCATCTGCCTTCGGCTCAGGTCATGATCCCAGGG